CACCACAAATCTACAAAAAACTACAGGTTAATATTTCTGATGAACATACATGCAAAATCCTCAACAAATATTAGCAAACCACATACAACAATATATTAAAAAGATGATTCAACATGATCAAGTGGGATTTATTCCAGAGATGCAGGTATAGTTCAGCATTTGCAAATCAATCAATGTGATACACCATATCAACAAAGTGAGGGATAAAAATCATATGATAATCTCAATAGATGCAGAATGAGCATTTGACAAAGTATAGCATCCATTCATGATTAAAAAACAATCTCCAAAAAGTAGGGATAGAAGGAACATACCTCAACATAACAAAGGCCATGTATGAAAAACTTCGAGTTAATAGTGAAAAATGGAGAGCTTTCCCTCTAAGATCAGGAACAAGACAAGGATGTCTCTTCTCGCCACTTTATTCTAAATAACACTGGAAATCCTAGCCATAGAAATCAGACAAGATTTAAAAAAATAACAAGCATCTTTATTTGTAAACAAGAAGTTAAACTGCCACTATTTGCAGACAATAGAATGCTATAGAAAGTCCTAAAGATTCCACAAAAAAAACTACCAAAAGTAATATATGAATTCAGTAAAGTTGCAGGATACAAAATTAATACCCAGAAATTGGTAGTATTTCTATATACTAACAATGAAGTAACAGAAAGAGAAATTAAAACAGCACTATTTACAATTACAACCAAAAGAATAAAATACCTAGGAATAGACTTAACCAAAGAGATGAAAGACATATACTCTGAAACCTATAAAACAGTGAGGAAAGTAATTAGAGATGACATAAATGGAAAGATAATCCATTCTCATAGATTGGAAAAATTAACTTTGTTAAAATCTCCATATTACCCAGAGCAATACAGATTCAATACAATCACTATCAAAATACCAACACCATTTTACACAAAACTAAAATAAACACTAGAATTTGTATGGAACTAGAAAAGGCCGTGAATAGCCAAAGCAATCTTGAGAAAGAAAAACAAACCTGGAGGTATCACATTCCAGATTTCAAGATATGAAAAGCTGTAGTAATTAAAACAGTATGGTATTGGCACAAAAATAGGCATATATGTCAATAGAAGAAAGTATAGAGCCCAGAAATATATCTACCATTATATGGTCAATAAATCTATGACAAAGGAGGCAAAAATATACAATGGGGAAAAGACAGTCTCTTCAATAAATGGTGTTGGAAACTTATCTGTATGCAAAAGAATGAAACTGGACCGCCTTTTAACAGCATATACAAAAATAAACTCAAATTAGATTAAGGGCCTAAGTGTGAGACATGAAACCATAAAAATTCTAGAAGAGAACACAGGCAATAAGTTCTGTCACATTGGCCATAGCAATATTTTTTTCCTAGATATGTCTCCTAAGGCAAGGGAAATGAAAGCAAAAATAAATGTCATCAAAATAAAAAGCAAAAGAAGTTAACAAAACAAAAAGGCAACCTACTGAATGGGAAAGAATATTTGTAAATGACATATTCAATAAGAGGTTAAACTCCAAAATGCATAAAGAACTTATATAACAACACCAAATCATTATCATCATCATCATCTTATCAAAAAGTGTTCAGAGGACTGAAAAACATGAAAAGATGCTCAACATCACTAATCATCAGGGAAATGCAAATCAAAACCACAATGAGATATCATCCTACACCTGTTATAATGGCTAAAGTCAATAACACAAGAAATAAATGTTGGCAAGGATGTGTAAAAAGGGGAACTTCTGTGCACTGTTGGTTGGGATGTAAATTGGTGCAGCCACTATGGAAAAGAGTATGGATTTAAAAATAAAGAATAGAACTACTATATAATCCAGCAATTACACTTCTGGGTATTTATTTTAAAAAATATTAACTCAAAAAGATATCTGTACCCTCATGTTCATTAAAACAATGTTTAAAATAGCCAAGATATGGAAACAACCTTAAGTGTCCATCAATGGGCGGGAAGTGTGTATCAATGGATGAGTGGTATCATTATTTATTCCTTTTCACATTCGATTAATATTTTATAGTATGAATGTACCAGGGTTTATCTTTTCACCTGTTGGTGAACATTTGGACTATGTCCAGTTTTTAGCTATTTACAAATAAAGCTGCTAGGAATATTCAAGTACGTTTCCTTGTATGGATATATATTTTGTTGCCTGTCTAGATTTAAAACAGATTTAATTTAATAATTTAATCCTACAAGGATTATCTAAAACCATTCTCTTGTGAATAGCACAAAACATTGAGAAACTCATGAAGTTCTTTTTATTTTTATAATCTTCAGCCTTCTGTACTATCCCATTTAGGTACAAATGTGAGCTGGTCATTTCTACTAGTAGGATATACAATACCAAGGGAATGACTTTGAAAATGTCTAGAGGCAAAACAATATAGTAGCAAACATATGCAAATGGTAGATAGGAGTTTTTACATGCATTTAAACCCTCTTTTAGAAAAGCTTGGATAGATTCCATTTCAGATTATTTGCTCAATCAATGCAGAGATCCTTAATATACCTTTGGGAAGAGAAGATGGCCATACCCTTGCAATCAGTCTCACCAGCAGACACAAAAGCTAATCATTTTGGTGCTCTCCTCAGAGTATTGCATATGATGGTTAGATGGTTTTCCTGTTTTATCACTGACAAAAATTATTCAGGATGTTTATTCAGCATTTGTATAAATTAGACCACTGAAATACCTGTCTCTTGCATTTATTTAACAATAATAGTCTGATGGGAGAGTAAAAACATTCTCAGAAGAAATTGCTGCTATAATCAGTACCCATTGTATAGTAGTTCCAAGGAAAGGCAGAATCTGTTAACTTTGATAGACCACCTCAAGGAAGTCCCTTTTTGCACTTTGCTATAATTGCCTTTCTCCATTAAAATCAAACCAGATCCTAGCATCCACATGCTAGAAATTACTAAAAGGTATTTTATTTGGTATATTCTTCAGCATAGCCCAAAAGAATGACAACCAGAATTTATATGTATAAATATGTATATACTAGTAGATTTTGCAACTGGGATTATTTATAATAATGTTTATCATAGTCTCTGGATTTTCTGTCATCTGGTTTGATGTCCCTTAAAAGCTTCAATTTCATGGGAATGAAGAGCACTAAGGCATAGAAAAGACACTGTGTTCAGGTTTAGAGAACACAGGACCTGCTTGGATAAATCATACTTATTTTAGAATCCAGGAAATATTTATAGTGCATTGATAAGAGAAGGCTGTTAGTACACCAGGACTCATAAATCTAAAAAGGATATGAAATTGGCAAAGTCAAAATTAACACTTATCTATCTCATTATCCATATCATATTATGCTTCAAATTTAATTTCTTGAAAGACCAAGCCTCAGAAGGAAACACCATCATGCTAAATTTGGATGAGACTTTTGAATTCAACCAAGTACTTGTGTAAATACTGACTTACCGAGCTTCCAAAATATTACCATCCTTATTACATGTGTAACAGTTAGTTTATAAAATGTTAGGTAATCTACCCAGGGCCAGATAATCTGCTTTTTCATTATATATCCAAAACCAGGATCCAAATCTCCTGTGCACTTTCCACTATACAAGGCTATATCTTTCATTTTTACACAAGCTTATATCACAGAGCACATGTTCAAAGCAACAATGAATAGCCTTGTTTCAGATTTGTTTTAGACATATATGATAGACTATTGATTCCAAAAGTTTTGACAATAATTGAATGGTCGCAAAGGTCTGTAACATGTCATTTTACTAAGATATAAATTTGCACTATAGAAAGATCAATATACAGGTCACTAATTATAGTTAAGCCCAGCCTATTATCCAGCATCTACATGTCTATGAGATTCTTTTAATTTCTACTTTGTCTTAATGTAGAACCTAATTCCCATTAAAATTGTTTCTTCATGAAAATGGTCCTCAAAGAAAATCATGTGCTACTTATGGTTATTAAATAGAAGGAGTCCTAGAAAGTAATGCTTCTTAAAACATGAAAGTTTTGGATCAATTTAATAATAGAATAGATATTCTATAATAGAAGAGATATTATGAGAATGAATCCACCACGTACTGTACAAGGAAAAAATATTTTTGAAATTATCTGATGCTTCAACAATGGCAAAAATTGTGTACTATGGAGAAAATGATATGCTACATTACGATTTATGAATTGGGGGACTCCTTTGTCAGAAATGTCTAGATTGTGCTCTTTATGCCATTCTTCTCTTATTAATCTACTTTGCAAGAAGAAAATACAATCAATACCAGCAAAAAATAATTGCTTTTATATTGATGATAAATTTATAATTAAAACAAAGTTTGTAACTATAATCACAAAGATCAATAATAAAAAATGCTGCAGTATTGCCTAGAATCATTTAAATACTATGAGCAAACTCCAAGAATATAAAAGATATGGTTAGACAGTTTTGCCTGCATGTACTCTTTATAGTTCTGTAACTAAAAAATTATCTCTTCATTTTGCATTAACCAATTTTTCTTAGAATAGACAATCACCAGAATAAACAAATTTTCTTTATGCAATCTTAACAGTGGATAGCTTATGGTATGCATTCTCACCAATAAAAATCAACATACTTTTGATTAATGTTAACTTCAAAGGCAAGTCCAAGTAAGCAGTAATTAATACTCTCAAAAAAGAAAAAAGGACAGTTCTTTCTATTTGATTCCTCCCTGTTAGTTCCTGGAAGGGAGGCAGTAAAAATAAGCAGTTCTAAAAACTGATTAACTTTCTTTACTTTTCATTTTTGATAATATCTTAATTTTTAAATTTCCCGGAAGCCCTTGTGATTATTTAAATTTTTTCTCATGTAGAGTGATAAGATGATTGGAAGAAAAGTTGAAAATGAGTAACCTCTGAGCTTTACTTTGGATATTAAACAGTCCGTTTCTGTCTGCCAGTGATAACCAGGAGCTATTTGTTCAATTCCTTTTCTCTGTCATTCTCAGGTAAACCTCTGAACATCCCTTGCAAAGCATTCTTTGGATTCAGTGGAGAGTCTGGACCAATGATCTACTGGATGAAAGGGGAGAAGTTTATTGAAGAACTGGCAGGTCACATTAGAGAAGGTGAAATAAGGTACAGTACTTGAATTGCTTAGTTTTTCTTTGCTCTCTTTGAAGTTAAGCAATGGAACATCCTAGAACTTCTGGTTGGGATTTTAATTGCAACTCCAAATCATTCCATTTTCTAAAAGTTGATCTGGTGGAGAGAGTGAGTGCCCTAGGAAATGCAAATGTGTAAGCTTCCAATATAAGGAAGTTTTCTCAGGTTTTAAGAATATACCATGGAGTGTAATGACCTCCTCTAAGTTGCTTGAGCAAGTTCTTTTGAGTTTCCAAAACTTAGGCCACTGTTACTCCATCCAGCCATACCAAATACCCAAACTTTGTAGGTGACTCCTAAGACCATTGGGCAAATTCTCATTATTTACTCCCTAAGAACAAACATCTTTCATAGGTCATAAGTGTAAAGCTACAGTGACAGTAGTAAGCTACTACTCACCAAAATAACTGTGTTGAATAGTGTTTATTTTTCCCAGTACCCACTGCTCATCCTAAAAGTGAGGTTAGCACCTCCCTAGACAGATACCTCCTGTGACAGAACCTGTTACAGATACCTCCCTGGTACAAAGACGTCTATTCTATAGGTTTTCTAGTCCTATTTAATATAATGTCATTTGTATGAACAAGGGATAGGTAATTTTTTCTGTTATAGATATCTCCCTGGTACATAGATATCTATTTTATTTTGGTTTTCTAATCCTATTTGATATGATGTCTTTTGTATGAATAAGGGATAGGTAATTTTTCTCATTCAGTCTATGGAGTTGTCCTTTGATTTCAGAGATGATGATATATAGTGTACATTTTTCATTCCAATAGAAGTTGGGACCTTTCCCCCTCTACTCCCATTAAGAATCTTGTAATGGAAGCTAATCTAATATTTCAGTGCAATGCATTCTTTCACTTTTTTATTGAATATGTTGCAGTGTGAAAGAAACAAGTACACTTTATATTACTTTCTATTATTAAATTTAATTTATTATAACTACTATCACAGTTTTTCTTTATGTTTTCACCCAATAGTTCCACTCTGGAAGAACATAACTTTGAGGATCTATGAATCTCATGAGAGCCTATGTAAAATATTGATTAAATGAGACTATTTCTAGGAAAAAAGTACATGAAAGGTGTCTGAATTAGCCATTTGTCATCAGAGAAATGCAAATCAAAATGCCTTGATAAAACTTTATACTCACTAGGCTGGCTATAATTTAAAAGATTATAGTAAGTGTTGCCTATAATGTGGAGATATTGGAATCCTCATACACTACTGGTGGGAGTGTAAAATGGCACAGCCACTTTGGATAACACTCTGTCAGTTCTTCAAATCATTAAACATATAATTATCAGCAAGTCCTCTTCTCAGTATATCTCAATATATAACCAAGAAAAATCATAACATGCATCTATGGAAAAACTTGTACACAAATGTTCACTGCAGCATTATTCATAATAGACAAAAGGTGGAAACAGTCTAAATTTCTATCAACTGATGAATGGATAAATAAAATCTGGTATGTTCATACAATGAACTGTTATTCAGCCATTAAAAGGAATGAATAAAGTACTGATATACACAGCAACATGGATGAACCTTGAAAACATATTAAGTGAAAGAAGCCAACGGGGGGGGAAAAAAACTACAATGTGCTATGTCTAGAATAAGCATATCTATAAAGCCAGAAAGTAGGTTAGGGGTTGCTTAGGGTTGGAGGGACAGAGGTATAGGGTTAAATACTTAAGGTGTATGGGTGATATCTTTTTAGTGAGGTGGATACAATATAACATAAAATTCACTATTTTAAAGTGTACAAGTTAGTGACACTTGGTACATTCACAATGTTGTGCAACCATAACCACTATCTAGTTGCAGAAAATTTTCATTACTCCAAAACAACACCCTGTACCCATTAAAGAGTCTGAAGCTTCTTTTTGAGGTGATAAAAATGTTACAAAATTGACTGTGGCAGTGGTTGCACATATCTGTGAATATACTAAAAAATAGTTAATTGTACATTTTAAATGGATGAATTGTATGATATGTGAATTGTATCTCAATAAAGCCATTTAAAAAAATTTGCAGTTGATTACGTGGCACATAACAGATGTTCAGAAAAAATAATCAATATACTAATTATAATTTTTTAATGTTTATTTATTTTTGAGAGAGAGACAGACAGACAGACCATGAGCGGGGGAGGGGTAGAGAGAGAGGGAGACATAGAATCTTAATCAAGCTTCAGGCTCTGAGCTGTCAGCACAGAGCCTAACACCGGGCTCGAACTCACAAATCGTGAGATCATGACTTGAGCCACAGTCGGACACTTAACCAACTGAGCCTCCCAGGCCCCCCTCAATATACTACTTATAAATAATTATTTTTTTAAATTTTTTAATGTTTTATTTATTTTGAGAGAGAGATAGAGACAGCATGAGCAAGGGAGCCACCCAAGCACCCCATGGACTCAATGTTTATACCCCCCCCCAGAACAAACATTCATATGGTATTGGGGGTGGGGATTTGGGAATTTGATTAGGTCATGAGAGAGAAGCCCTAAAGGATGGGATTAGTGCCCTTACAAAAGAGACTCTAAAGAGTTTTCTCTTTTCAGAAAAGATCAGAGTGTAGTGAGACAACCATTATAAATGAGGAAATAAACCCTCTTCAGGCATTAAATCTGCTGGTGCCTTGATCTTGAACTTTCTGGTCTTTAGAACCATGAGAAATAAGTATTTATTGCTTAACCACTCAGTCTATGGAATTTTTGTTATAGCAGCCCAGGTAGACTATCTTCACAATTATATCTTCTCAATTTTTCTGTAAACCTATAATTATTATAAAAAATGTTTGTAAAACAGACTAAAAAATGAATTAATATAGTTAAATGCACACCCACTATAGAGTTCAACCACTCCATGTCTCAGTATTTATTCAAGAAAAAAGGAAATATATGGGAATGCAAAGATGCACACATGAATATTCATAGCAGTTCTATGTGTAATAGTCCTTAAACTGGAAACAACCCAAAAAGCCATCAACAAGTAACCAGACAGTTTATATCCATATAATGGAATACTACTTGGCAGTAAAGAAGAATGAACTATTACTACATTTAACAAGATGGATGAATCTCAAAATAATTGAATAACTGAAATACTCCAGACCAAAAAGAGCACATACTGCAGTATTTCATTTATATAAAATTCTAAAAAATGCAAAATGACTTACAGTGACAAAACTGTTGTAAAAGTAGGGCAGGAGGTAGGGATTACAAAAGAGAAACTTGTGGGCTATTTATATGTTCATTATCATGACTATAGTGATAATTTCATAAGTGTATACATATATAAATCAATCAGCTCTTACAGATTGTATACTTTAAATTGTGTGCTGTTTATTATATGACAATCATACCCACATTAAATCTATTTAATTAGAAAAATCCAGTCGGTCATGCAGAGGAAAAGAGAGAGAATTATCTTCAGTTCATATAACTACTACCCTGATCATAAAATATAGCGCTGAGCTTTTTGGTAGTGGAAATTTTTGCTAATATGTACCATTGTACCTATAACTTGTCCTTTGAGGACCAGTTTTTTTTTTTTGTTTATGAAGGGTAACCTTTAAAATATTTTACAGGCAAATGCATTGAGAAAAATTATAAACATGTATCTTCTAAAATAATTTAAAAGAAATTCAGTTGCATTAATTTCATAAACCTTTACTTGAATTAGGAAACATAAACTTTGAATAGGAGTTAATAGTTAAGAATTATTTATAAGGAGCGCTTGGGTGGCTCAGTTGGTTAGGCGTCCGACTTCAGCTCAGGTCGTGATCTCACGGTTCCTGGGTTCTAGCCCCGCGTCAGGCTCTGTGCTGACAGCTCAGAGCCTGGAGCCTGTCTTCAGATTCTGTGTCTCTTTCTCTCTCTGCCCCTCTCCTGCTCATGCTCTGTCTCTTAAAAAGAAATAATTGTAAAAAACAAAATTAAACATTGAACCCATAGCAGATAGTACAGAGATTTCCTACACACCTTATGCCCAGTTTTCCCTATTACTAATACCTTAAGTTACTATGGTACATTTATTATAATTAACGAACCAAAATTGATATATTATCATTAACTGAAATCCATATTTTATTCAAACTTCATTATTTTTTTACCTATTGTTCTTTTTTTTTCCTCCAGGGTCATTTAACTTTTTAAGAATCTGTCATGTAGTTATACCATTTTACAAAAGAAAAGTTAGGCACTGCTGCTGCTCTCTATCAGCAAATGATTAAAATGGTGAGAGACAAAGCATACATATATGAAACATTTGGGTCTAGTCCAAGCCACTTTATTAGGTGCAAATGAACCAACCAGATAGTGCTATAGGAAGTCAACCTTTCAGGACTTGCAAAATGTCATTGTTTATTTGCTCTTGTTACATCTTCCTCCACTCTCCCCAACCCTCCCTATAAAAAAGGGTGCTTACATATATTTGCAGTGGAGGAAAGTAACATGGGACTTGTTCTGAAAATTTTACCAAACTGTACTGGCTAACTAGAAACACCTTCAGAGAAGTGCAAACAAAAAGGCATGGATTCCTAGCCAAGATAAACACACAGTCAGCCATTTTGTAATATTAATTATGTAATCTTGATCTATTTGAAGTCTTGTGTGAATGCAGGAATTCCTTCAGGATATACTAACACAGAAGTTAATTACTAGATTCTGTCTTCTAGCTTCCAAAGCCAATGTCCTTGAATGAAAGCATACAAGATTTTTATACAGTATGGCAGATGGAACAAATCTGGTAGTTTCATTAAAAAATGCTAATCATGCCATTAGTTCAACTAAGAGAAGATCTGCATTCTTTCATAGTCCACACATTTTCTCCAAAGAGAACAGTTCTGATAGAATGCTGAAGACGTTAAGTTGAGGTTTCCTCTTGAAAGCATTTCTGGAAACAAAATTTCTTTCTGGATGCATGGCTTTCCCTCAGGGTACTGTATTTGCTTCATATTTT